ATTCTAGAGGTTGCTTAAGATACTAAATATCGTCTTGCCCTAGTTATATAGTTAGCTACCCCCGGTCTATTATAGATGCTTTAGTACTAGTATCGAGGCAAACGCGCTTAAAATCCCCTTTCGAAGAAAGGGCGTAGTTCGCTTCGAAGATATCGTAATATCTAAAGATATAAGCTAGGTCTCCTAGAGGGAGTTTTGCTAAGTAGGGTATAATTTGTAATTCCTATTAAGGGCGTTCTCGTATATAATAGACCTATAGTATAAGGTTATTAATAGTACCGAAGGAGCGCTTCCCTATACGAGCCTTCCTATCGTCGATAGAGGAAGAAATCTTCGAGGTACTCGATAAAATCGTATAGTACTACGCCTCTCCCGCTAAGGGCGTAGCCTTAGCTATTTAGGCGATATAGTAGACTTAGGGCTACTCCGTAACTAATATCGTAGCATTCTAAGCATTTAGCGCGTCTAGATTAATTAGGGACCTCCCGATAGTAGTCGCTACGCCCGCTAGGATATCTAGTAGCAAATCTAATATATAGATAGAGCTAGGCGTAGTCTACTATAGAGCGATCGTAGCGGAAGAATCTTCTATAGGAAAAGCTACGCCCGCTAGCGTAGGCGTATAATCCGCTATAGGGGGGCGCGATACTAATATAGACTAGAATATTTAGGCTTAGACATCTATTAATAGACTAGGGGTTGCGGGCTATAGTACTAGAAGTATAGGTATCGATGTTTAGCTAGGCTATCCTACTATAATCGTTATTGCTAGGTATAAAGATATTTACTTATCCGGTAGTAAGCGACCCGGCGACTTCGGGAGTTCCGCTACCGCTAGGGGTTCTAGAATTTCCGGTAGACTTGCGGTTTCATACTAGCTAGTAGTAACTAGTTTTACTTCTAGCTCGAGGAGTTTCCCGGAGCTAGCTTATATAGAATATTCGTACGCTTCCTAGTAGCGTCCTTAGGGTATATATAATCGAGGTAGCTATTAAAAAACTCGTTAGCTAAGCGGAAAACCTCTCCGTATATATTATAACGCGTCTACCGACCTAAGGGTCGCGTCTTATCGTGTTAAGGCTAGGCATTTACCTTAGGTCTACGAACCTACGGCTAGGCGTAGTATACTAGAGTTAACTATAGATTTATAGGAGGAAGAGCTTAGTCTTCTTCTACCTCGATACTACCGATATCTTCGCTAGCTATATACTAATCCTCGGTCTACTCTCTACCCTCGGCCTAGGTAGTATCGTCGTATTCTAGTTCTTAATAGTTAGTCTCCTACCCTAGGTCTACTAAATCGTAGAAGAACGTAGCTTTACTACGAGCCTAGGAATTTACGGGAATGCCTTAGCCTCTTATATTTCCGAAATTCGTCTACTATCTCTAAGGATTCGGATACTATAGGAGACCGCGGGCGTCTACTATTTTCTCGTTTACGCTTACGTTTACGCCCTATAGTCTCTAGCGGCTATAGACCTATAATCTAGGCTAACGGCGTTACTAGAATATATTAGGTTACTACCGATTATAGGGATTGTTATTTCTAAGAAAAGACGAGCGTCTAGTATTAAAACGAGACCTAGACGCGAACCTAGGGTCTACGAACCTACCCTATACCGAATCGCTACGTCGAAGGTTTAACTTACTATTATAGTAGCCGGTAGTAGTGCTGCCTAGAGGATATAACTCTACCTATATCGTATAATAGGCTTATATTATATCGATAAGCGTCTAATACGTCTATAATAGCGTAGGTATATTAAGATCGCTACGTAGCTCTAGTACGATCTTCTAGAAGGTATAGTTAATTTACCCTATAAGAGACTCTATACCGCTTTGCTACGCTAAATATATAACGTTAATAACGAATTCGCTTACGCTCTTTTAAGCCGCGACTTCCTTAATACGATATTATTCCGATTCTAATTCGCGCGCCGCGACTAAGGGGTCTAATCGGAACTGCTTACGTAAGGCCTCCTTCTATCGCTCGATACCTAGGCCGGTTTAAAGGAGCGTACGTCGATCGTTAGTAAGGCCGTAAAGGTACTAAGCTAAGGCGGAGCCCTAAAGGCATCTATATAGTAATAGACGTAGGGTTGCTACTAGATACTCGCCTGCTTAAATAGCTATATCGAGGCGAGTAATAAAAGCAAAAACGTCTCGATAATAGGCCGTATTACTAATATATACAACTAGGCCTTTACCCTTACTCTCCGGAAGGTCCTTATTAAAATACCTAACTTACTTAGGCTTAAACTTATAGGGCGCGACCTCCTAACTAAAGTCCGTAACTAGAGTATAAGGAGGACTAGCGTATAGTAGAGTATATACGTCGGTAGGCTCGAACCTCGGGTCTATAAAGCCGGCCCTATCTTAGGCAGGCCTAGGATTGCCTTTAGCGCTAAGGCCTCTATAGGCGTAGCGTTTAGAGCTAATCTCTAGTACGATACTAGCTCGAGTATTCCGATTCTAATTAGCTAGCTAGTTAGCTCTAGTCGTACCTTAGCTAGTTCGGCTACGTATCGCGTAAAGATTTCTATATCGCTACTGCCCCGGTAGCCTAGAATAGTTATTATTCGGTCGTAGGGCCGCTAAGGCGACATTATTAGACTATATTACCTCTACTAGTTTTCCTACTAATGCCTCTAGCTTATCGTATCTAGTATTGTCGTTATTAGCGCTAGCGGAGGTATTATTATTCCTATTATTCCTAGTATTAGTATTAGTATTAGTAGTAGCGTTGTTATTAGCGGTAACCTCGTCGTTAAAGTGCCTAGTAGACTTAGCATTCCTCCTTCGCCGTCGCTATTCGTCGGTAAGGAACAATTTAGGGATGCTATTCGTATCGATAGTATAGCGCTATTCTAAGGCTGTCGGAGGTAGTGCTCTGCTAGCTTCTATACCCTTATCTCTGCTTTTGTTCTTAGCTCTTATAGCCTCCTTACGGCCTTCGTTAAACGCTTATTAGATTTAGGCCTATATCTCGATCTCGTAAGCCTCGCGCTACTCGTCTAGTACCCTCTATAGACGTATACGATCCGCAGCTCGATTATTATCTGCCTTAGTACGTTGCTCGGCTAGCTACTAAGCTACCTAGGACTTTATTTGTCTAATTTTATCTCGCTATTTAGCGCCGGCTATACCGTTCGCCGGTACTATAGATCCTAGAGCCTACTTACCCGATATATCTTCTCCTTCTAGCTAGGAATCCGGTAGTAAGCTAAGTATCGAACTACTAGATACCGAGATTAATAAGCTCTCGCGAGGCTTAGGAGGCAGGTCGTCTTTATAAAAGGCACCGAAATTCTTAAAAACGTTACCCGTTAGCGGGTTGATTTTAAAAGACTCCCTACGTCTATTAGGCTTAGCTTAGCCTAAGTTCTCGTCCTTAATTAAGCGATAGACGCCCTACTTCTCTAGTCGTAGAGGGATGTAAACCTTACGGCGACGTAGCTAATTCTTACCTACGGCCGGATTCTCGTTAGTAGACTTAAGGTGTTCTACTAGCTACTAAGCGAAGTATAGGCTATCTAACTAGTACGAAGTTAGACGATATACTTGTCGTATAGCAGAAAGCGATAGGGAGTTGTCGTTAACCTACGAACTAATAATCTTAGCGCGTGTCTAAGGTTTAGAAGTCGCGTCTTTATCCGTATCCGGAATACGGGACTATAACCTTAGGCGACGTAGAGGTTTAGCCTCCTCCGGATCCTCGTACTACTCGGTAATAGCGATAACTCTATACCTAAGATCCTTCTCGAATAGCTTGTTTAGATACTACCTTAGTTTCGAGAAGGCTAATAGTATATACGCTATATAAACTAGGTAGTATCTGTCTTCCTTTAGTTCGGGAAGAGTGCAATCCTCCTAGGCTATAGGCGGCGGATCGTTTAGAGATTCCTAGTCCTTTAATGCTATAAGCTTCTATATTAAGACGTAGATGTTATTCGCTAAGAGACGGAATAGGGCACCGTCTTAATATTAACCGTAGGTATAGACGTAGTAGCTACCGTAAGAGTAATCGGAACCTTCTATATCCTTATACCTAAAAAGGGGAAGTTAGGAGGGTTAGGTACCTAGCTCCTACTAACCCGAAATGTCGTTCCTACCCTTAGTAAGTAAGGGTATTAATAGAGGGAGCGTAAAGCGCGCCGCGGCGCTAGGCTAGGTCTATCGTTAATTTCCGTACCGATTCGCTAGTAGGTCTCGTATGTTTTCGTACTAAATTATAGCCTCTTTCTTATAGTATAGCTGCGGCGTTTAATAGTACGGAAAGTAGTATTAGAGTAGTTCGTTAGGACTCTCCTTCGGCGTAAAGGACTTTCGCCTTAGAGAGGGGAATAGTAAACCGTAGTTCGGATAGTCCGTTTAAAGACGGTTAGTGCGTATTTTACGCTAGTACTCGAAGCGAAGCTACTATTTTGTTATACATCGTATATTATAAAGTAGATAATTATTCTAAGTCTATCTAGGCTTAGAGAAGTATATACTATAGGAGGCTAGGGCCTCCTACCTAGCCTATACCTATGCCTGCCTTCGTAACACCTAGCCTCTAAGCGCTAACGTAAGCAAAGGCAGGAGCACTCTACGCGGTAGGGGAGGGGGTTTAGGAGGAACGACTATCCCCCTCCTCCTAAGCGCTAGCGCTTATAAAGATACGATAAGGTATATAGTTATTTACCGATCGGATACGTATAGCAGTCCGTACATTTATATATAAGAAGCCGTACCTTCACTTTTCTAGGATTCTAATCCTAAATTAGTATAGCGCTTGCTTTAAAGAATTACGTTAGGTATAAACAGATAACTCCTTCCCTTTCTACTCCGTACTCCGCTTTTCTATATACGCGTTAACCTCGCCCTTCCTCTTAATACAAACTATAGCTAAGCTATAACGTATTAGATCGCAACGCTTCTTATTATATCGCTTCTTATTGTATTAAGATAGCGGTATATTTAAAGATACTACTTAAGCCGCCTCTAGACAATCGTACCGGTTACGCGCTCTATATACATTTCAACCGCAACCGTAAGATACTCGCTCGAGGGCGTAACTAGCTCGAATAGACTATCCGCGAGTAGTATAAGCTCTTCTATAGCAAGGACTTTGTTAGACGCAATATCCGCCGTATACTAGACTTTATACTTAATAAGCTAGAGTCGCAATTAGCTAGTAAGTTAACGCAACTCGAGGACTAGATCTAGACAGTTAACCTTAGCGACGAGAAGGTATATAACGGGCTTATCTCTACGCTTACTAATACTTACGCGAGCCTCAATTAGGTATAGACTGTTCGTATAATAATACGCGCTCGCTCTATAGCATCTAGCGCTCCGGGTAGCGGCTCTCCTAGCGGCGGTAGACTACTAAAGAAGAACATTCCTACCGATCGTCCTAATCCTAGCGATAATAGCGACAGCGAGGCGGATAATAAGTATAATAGCCTAAAGGATATATGCTCTAATTGCGGTATTTAGAAGAAGTAGCAATGCTTTATAAAGGGAAACAAGAAGCTAAAGACTTGCGATAAGTACCGAGTATCTATAGCCTCGAGTCGTAGTAAGAAGAGAAAGTTAGAGCCGCCGATAGAGACTCCTTTAAAGCGTAGACGTCTAACCTTAACTCTATCGAGCTCTAATACCCCTATCCTAATTTAGTCTTCGCTAGTACTATCTCCTTCTACTAATCCGAGCATTAGTCCTAGTCTAATATCTATACTAAGTAATATTGTTGTCGCTACTACTCCTCGGCTAGACCTATATACTTCCTTAATGCTACCTCCGCCTCGACCTTCGTAGCTTCCGTCGTAAGCGCTAGAATCTTCGATAGGTATAGCCGGTCGTCGTCTATATAGTTAGTATAGTAGTAACGATCCGTAGACTACTACTACCCGTACTATATAGTACGGTATCTCGCGCTCTTATCGTTAGCGCCGTCGTACTAGAGAAGATATTTCGTAAATACTAAGCATTAACGATATATTAGCTAACAATACCGAGCGTATATAGAAGCTACTATAAGACCCGCAACCTAGTAGCGACAACTTTAGTAGCGACTTCGACTTTCTAGATACCTCTAGTACTAGTGTTAGTAGTAATCTAGACCTAGACGAGCGACCCGACGAGCGACTATAGTTTTAGTACGAGATCTGTAACGTGCTACGTGCTATTGTACGTATTACTATACTATATACAAATACTTACTAGTACTATACCGTAGCTAACTTTAAGCGAGAGATGTGGATAAAGTAGTACTAGGTAGGCATTTATAAGACCGAGCGCGTATTGTTTCTTTACGAGTACGATAAAGAGATAGAGTATAAGTATAGCTGTCGACTATGCCGGCCTTCTTAGCCTAGTATATAGGCACCTCGCCGTCGCCGCGAAGGACAAGGTTCTTGTATTATATAAGCCTAGGTAGAGGAGGATAAGTAGTACGATAAGCACTTCCTTAATAGTTAAGAGCTATAGCTTATACTAGATCGCGACAACCTATATACTCTAGTACTATACGATATAGATATAGGCTTAGTAAATAAGTTCTTTAAGAAACTCGATATAGAAAAGATTAAGTACTATTAGAATAAGAATACCTAGAAGGGTTGCAAGGAGCGTTAGTTTAATATAAACTTAGACACTAACCCGGACTCTCCTACCTTTAAGGTATATAAGCGCTGCCGGTCTACGCGAGACTATAACAAGCCTATAGCCTTACCTAATCTTATATCGCACGCTAATAAGATAGATCCTAGACCGTAGCCTACGAATCTCGAGACTAGCGAACTATTACTAGCACTAACAATAATCGAGGAGTTACTTATCGCTTGTATATATATATTCGTCGAAATGCGGTTAATTAAAGGCGCGTAGTAGCGGTATAAGAACAACGTCGTTAATTTCCTCCGAGATGCTAGAAAGCTATAGAGGGAGCTCCCTCTCGTACTAGAGCACCTTAAGATAGTAGTTTTTCGTCCTACAAATAGCAATAGTACGACTAATCGGATATTCGTTATAGACTTTAAGGTGCGGCGTTAGGCAGTAAAGGCACAGTTAGATTATCTTACATAGAACGACCCCGAGTATACTAGTATTGCTATTAACGAGGAACGCCTATCTTAATTGCCTAATAGCTAGGATAGCGAGTCTATTATATATAGGATTAACGTACTAGAAGAGTATAAGGAAGAGGATCTCCCTCTACCGCCTACTAAGTAACTTAATTAGGATTAGCAAGGTTATTCGAGCGTACGTCTAGATACATAGGCTAGCACTTAACCTAATAGTTAACCGGGCACCTAGCAGGAGTAGGACAGCTTAGCTAACTTCCCTTTCGAAGTAGCGCTACTATAAGCATATATTCCTAAAGGTATACGTACCGTATTAAACGAGATTCTTTAGGATTAGGAACTATAGCGGCAATAGAAAGCTAATAAAGCAAACGATCTTGCTATAGCTTAAATAGATGCCTCTTTAGATGCTCTAGCTTAGCAGCACTAGCTTACTATACCTAACTTTGATCTAATACCTCTTAATAAGTTTAATAGTACCTAGAAGCTCTATATACGCGTATTCCCGACGCTAATACCGTAGGGAGTTACGGACTATATCGATCTACGCCCGTAAGAGGTCTTACACGACGACTAGATTAAGTATATAATTAAGTAGGACGACGGCACTAGACCTGTTCGTTATCGATTCGCGAGCTATTCGCGCTTCCGGTATATCGTACTAAATACGCTTATAAGAAAGCAGACACGTAAGAAGGCGGACTATATTATATAGTAGAATCCCGACTTTAAAGAGATTACTATTAATAATCTTCGTAACGCTATCGATAATAACGATAACGATACGAAGCGCCTACTATCTACTATTATACGCTATAGCAACACCCTTCGCGGTATACGTATATACTAGATTGCAAAGACGGCCGAGTTAGAGAATTGTATTAAGGCTTTAGGCTGTCCGTACCTCTTCCTAACATTTAGTACCGCCGATTTACATTAGTAGCATTAATAGAAGCATATGCCTACTATACTAACCGGTACTAAGTACGAGCGTATAAAGACCGCTCGGTAGAACCTTAGAGACAATCTAGCGATTGTAGTATACTATTTCTATCGCTGTTACTAATTCGTTATAGAGCTAGTTAGTAAGAAGTTTAGAGTCGTTGATTACTAGAATCGTTACGAATTCTAGGCTCGTAGTAGCTCCTACAACTATAGACTAGTCTAGCTAAAGGATCGAGAAGGACTGCCTATTCCTTAATCCTTTACTAAGTAGGATCGTACTACTCTAGCTTAATTCTAGTCGAAGCACGTTATAGCTATAAACCTAGATCCTACCCGTATAGGCCCGGTTACTAGTAAGCCTATAGTGCTTTAAATGAAGACATCTAAAGTTAATAGCAGTTAGTATTAGTTAATACTAAATGTGAATCGTGTCTAGCGACATACTTGCGGTTACGAGTACTATTAGCGCAAGAACAAGGACATAGGCTTAGTATCCTACCGCTTCTATTTCCCTCGCGATCTATATAAGACGGGCATTGTTACGAAGGGTCTTAACCCTCGGCATTAGATATATAACGGGCCTCGCAACGATACTCGAATAAATAGCTATAATCGTACAATCTAAGCTACTTAGTTAGGCAACAACGATATCGCTATCTATACTAATAAAGGCACTACCGTCGACTATCTTAGGAAGTACTATACAAAGTAAGAGAAGCGAAGTAAGTCTTTTATTAAGCTTAGAAGAAAGGTGATTCCTAAGATTAATACTGCTAGTACGCGGCTAATAGTATCCTTCTTTACTAAGATACTTAACAAATTGATTAGTAAGCGCGACATATTAGCTTAAGAAGAGATATATATACTTCTCAATCTCCCGCTTACTAACGGTTCTCGGAAGGTGTAGAACTTTAACTATCGGAAGCCCGAAGACTAATCTCGAGCTAAGCGATACGATAAGGAGGTAGGAGAGTTAGTAACCTAGGGCAAGTTACTATTGCTGAAGTATATAGAGCGCTATAGCATCCCTAAGGCGCGATTTGCTAAGTCTTATCTAGTTAACCGGCCTAATCTAATACTGTTCGAATTCCTAACTAAGTAGGACTTTCGTATCTATAAGAAGCGCCCGCGAGCGAAGCTACGAGTTATTAATTAGTACCTAAAGTACAGTAGTGTACCTAATAGGGAGGATAGAACATACTAGGACTAGTACCGCACTAAGATTGCTTTATATTATCCGTTCGATAGCGCTTACCCTTCGCTTAAGACCGGCTATGTCTTTATAGACGATACTAGGGATGCGGACAATCCCCCTATAGCATATACAACGTAGTCTAGTGCCTATAAATAGTACAAAAACAATTACAATCATCCTAATAATTATATAGGCGTAAGTTTGCTAGATCTAACGGCAGACCTGTTCGAGAAAGAATACTACGATCCTAAGCTTAAAGCTTCCGATAAAGCATTACTTACTACTGCCCTACCTTAGTACCGGCCGGTAGAGCGACTTAAAGATCTAAATGCCTTAGGCAACCGACAAATCGATATTAAGTATTAGTAGACTGCTTATATCGGCAAGTATAGTATTCGGGCGGCTAATATTAAGGACTTTTAGAAGGACTACCGCGGCTCAACTACGATAGCATAGCGTATTAGCGTACTAGCAGATCTATAGTAGCGCATTGCTAGCTTAGCTCCTACCTAGAAGCTTTTCTTCGATAAGCTAGTAAACTACTAGACCGCATTCCTTACTAACCTAGGAGATCGTTAGCCTTTCTTGCTTAACGTCGATAGTAAAGCAGGTATTAGAAAGTCCTTTATTATCGATATACTATTATCCGAGCTCGAGCGGCTTATAGACGAGTTTAATCGTAATAAGCAACAATGCGGCGCTAAAGCTCTTATAATGCCTAACCTAATCGTTCGCTTAGCGCTAACTAGGGCCGCTACTAATAGTGTTAAAGGCCGTATAGTACACTCCTTCTTCCGCTTGCTATTAACTATAAAGGAGTATATTCCTCTCGATAGTTAAGCGCTCGATTAGTTCCGATCTATATTAATCGATATAGAGTATATTATTATTAACGAGAAGTTAATGCTAGATCTTACTCTTCTATTCTAGATCGACTCGCGGCTCCGACAAATTAGCTTTATACGAGAAGATAGTAAAGAGATGCTATTTAGAGGGCGTTATATCGTTATTGCTAGCGATTTCTATTAGTTGTTGCCTGTAGGTAGTAGACCTCTCTTCTCGAGATTAGAGGACCTATATACGCTAGAAGACATTACTAGATATAGTCTATACCGGATGTTCGATTAGACTATTTAACTAAACGTAATTTAGCGATAGTAAGGTATAGATGCTACTTCTTATACCTTCCGTAAAGCCCTTAAGGGTCTGCGGAATGCGCTAGGAGGTATAAGTATCGATTACTAGGAGACGCTCGTTACGCGCCTAAAGCCTAATTTACCTTAGGCTAAGCGAGACTAGTTTAAAGATGCCTTATACCTATATCTATATAAGAAGCAGGTTAATGCCTTTAACTAGGACGCAATGCGAGACAATAATATACTAATTCGTATATTAGTTGCTAAGCACTCCGGCATTATATAGGCCGTATAGGCTTCTTATAAGAACGGTAGCAACTTATATCCTCGCCTACCCCTATACGTTAGGGCTCGTATTATAGTTACGCAAAACCTATAGGTAGAAGGAGGAGTTATTAATAGTAGCTTAGGCACCGTACGCGATATTGTTTAGAAGGACAATAGCGATAATTATACCGAGATTATCTAGCGCATTCCGACTATCCTTCTTATATAGCTCGATAAGTACGAAGGTCCGACCCTTAACGATAAGTACGACCCCGATAATACCTATAATATACTAGAGCGTATCGTGCCTATTATGCCTATACGCCGCGAGTAGCTGTATAACTAGCGTTAAGATACGCGCTGTATTCGCACCTAATTTCTAGTTACTATCGCATATGCCGTTATAGTTTATAAATCTTAAGGCATAACCCTAGACTAGGTCGTTCTTAACATTTCGAAGAAGGACTTTACTCCTAGCCTAGTATATATTGCCTGTTCTCGGGCTAGGGCTCTTAGAGACATAATGTTTAAGGAACTATTTAACTTTTATAAGCGCTTTAAGCAAGGCAAAGTTAAGCAATCTATTATTACTTAGTATACTAACTATATACATCGTCGGCCTTAGCGTATACTACTAGTTAGAGATATCCTTTCTTTAGAAGCTCCTAACCTAGCGGAGTAGCCGCCTTCGCGCGATAATATATCTAACCGCAAAGACGTATAGAAGAAGCGTTAAGAACAACTGCGTCGCTAGCAGCAAGTATAGGAGTAAGAGCGTTAGTAGCGGGAGCGAGCGCAATTGTAGAAGGACCTCTAGACTATTGCCCGTACTAAGTAGATATAGAAGATTCTTAAGTAGGATCTATAAATACTATTTAACCTAAATCGGATTGCTCTTAACTTTACGCACGCTCTGCCTTAAGCTTATAATTATCGCTAGCCGCTACTAGAAGGCAGTATTTATATACTATTAGTCTAGACTTTAGTTAGGAAGTTTAAGGAGAAGTTTCCTTAGTAGGTACCTCCGTATACTATTTAACCTCCTCCTTAGTAAGGTAAGCAAGGTTAGCTAGAGTAGGAAGATTAATTTACCTAATAGTAGCAGCCTAGAGGTACTGTCTACCTAGTATATAGTCTGCCTACGTTATAGCTATATATAACTAATCCTATAAATGCAAACTTCTTCCGGCGAGTCGTAGCGAACCGATAGCAAGTATAGTAGGCACGATAGCTATAGCGATAGCAACCTAGCTAGACAAACCCTATTGCTTCTTAGGATTATATTACTCGCTATACGTATGCTTTGTTTTAGCTAGGCGACATTCTTAATATTGCGTAGCTAGCTCGTTGCTTCGTAGATTAGTATCCGTAGTATCGGCTTAATTACGAATTCGAGTATAGACTTACTTTAGTAGAGGGAGTTAGCTCCTACTTTCGTCGTAGTATTAAGGTCTTTGTCTGCTTTAAAGATTATAACACTTAAGAGGAAATAGTATACAAAGCGATAACCGCTTAGGAGGCAGCTATCTATAACAATTAGTAGTAGTAGTAGTAAGATATAATAGGGATATAGGAAGCAATAGCTTTATAGGATATAGAGATAGTAGAAATATAAGGTACTAAGCAAGAAGTAACTTAGTAAGAGGAATATAGTAATAAGGTTAATATAGATAGAACTTGAAGGACTACGCTTTAAGGGACTATACTTTAAATAATAGAGATACGAATGCTTCTTAATAAGCCCTTTTAGCCTAAGTTGCGTAGTAGGTACCAATTATATGCTTCTTAATAAGCCCTTCTAGCCTAAGTTGCGTAGAGGGTACTAATAGCTTGTGCTATCGCTTATTAAGCAAGAGATCGTTATTTCGCGCTCGCCGTTAGGGCTTAGCTCTTCCGCTTCGCTGGACTTATTAGCACTCGCAGGGCTATAAGTATATCCTTGTCTATCTATCACGTGCACTCGGTCGCAGTTTGATTCTTCATGCCCACAAGCCTGATGGGAGGTAGATGTGACGCCCTGTGCTATCAACGACTTCCCATTCCAGAACTTGATCGGCTGCTAACCCGTGAATGCCCTCCGCCTTGCGTATATCCTCCAGCCAGACCAACGCACTCCCCGCCAACGACCACGAGCTCCCGATCATTGGCGGCCTGGTAGGCCTCAAGGCCCTGCACACCCGCGCCCATCTTCATCGCTTTTCCCTTGTAGAATCTGGAGGTACAGAATAGTCGAATATTTTGATCTCCTTGAGGTGATGAGTCCAGAGGGTCAGGGATCCGGCACCAGAGGACTTGCCATTGTAATCGTGTCCGGTGTTGCGAATTACGATCCGTAAGTTTTTCTCACGTGCGAATGCTAGCGTTTTCTGCACATCTTTGGCACAGCTGACGTTCACAGCATAGTCGACATAGGTGCCGATGATGCAATTTGCGTTTTTAGGAGTGAAGAGGTCACAGCTTCGGTTAGCGAAGAAAGGCGCCATGATTGAGGAGGAAGAAGTGTAGCTGCTGTGGTTTAGCGAAGTTCCATCGAGAGGAGTTCTTGCTCTTACTGTGTTTCTGGCAATGTCCATTCGGTCTGAAGTTTCTCACATGCTGTCGCATTGTAGGCCCCGAATGGAGATTCATGGCAAGGTGCTGCTAAGGGTATAGTAGGCACAAGCTTTCCGGCGACGGATGTGTTGAACGCGCTCCAATCTTGTGCTGAAGGCCAGCACGTATCGCCTGGGAAGCAGCGGCATCGCGGTTCGGATGGTGAGGAAGCAAAGATGAGCTGGAAGAGAGATGCGAACAGCATTACCATGGAAGACAAAGTCTTGCACATGCTGAGCATAGCTATCTAGTGTTCTTTCTAAGAGAAATGAAAGTCCGGACGCAGCGGCGGTTCATATGTGTAACTGTGCAGCTCAGAGCTGTTTTCCACGTCGGAGGAATTGTACGAAGCGTACAGTACAACACCATCGTCGAGCCCGTATGCCGAGACACGACATGACTTCGGCGTCTGTCGTAGGCAATTGTAACGGCGCAGGTTCCACGACCTTCGCATCACAGGCATCGCGTTGGTGTTGATGGATGGAGACACATTATCGATAATTCCTATTGGAAAGTGGACTAGGTGCATAAATGCAGAGATCAGCGGTTGCTTGATCTTCCACAATGCTAAAAAGCCTCGTTCTCCATTGATACAGTAGCCAATTCTGAAGCTCCAAATCTACAGACTTATATTATGAGACTTCTCTTCAAGCCTTACCAGCATGTCACCTCCAGGTGCCAGAGCGCCGGTGCCTGGGAATGCCTTCTTAAAGCCCGGGAACTCGCTTGTAGGCTTTCCATCCTCATCAACATAACCTCGAAATCGAACATCGAACCTCAACAGTACCATTGCCAAGGCTCCAATCGCTTCCTGTTTCGCAAAAATTCTTCCGGGACACAAGGTCTTGCCTCCTCCGAAAGGAAAGAATCTGCCCGCAGTTCCACTCATCGAGAAGGTCTGTTTACCAGTTTTTGGATCCGTGGTCAGAAAGCGCTCGGCATCGAAGCAGTATGCGTCTGACTCGCCTACGGCCCAGCTGGGGCTGTGCTGTGAGAGGTAAGAAGGAGCAAAGACCCTGTCGCCTTTATGAAGCTGAGCCAGAAGCTTTCCATCTTCGTCTATGGGTAAGATGAGCTCTTCGGGAAGATCACGGCTGACCAGCAAGTCGGAGTACAGCCGGAGACTTTCGATCCAGATGCTCTGCAGAAGTGGTTGAGTGATGAGCGTCAGCACATCTAGGCTGCCGTCCGGTCCCGTCGACTCTTTGATTTCGTTCAGAACCCTTGGAAGAAGCGATGCTGGAGCTTTGGGATCCAGGATGTGGAACAACATCCAATTCGTTGCAGGGATAACATTTGATGCCAGCCCGAATGTAATTCCAGCATCCAAGCAAGCGCCAGATCGTGGAGAAAGCTGGCGGTTCTTGTAGTCCATCTGACGTGCTCGGCTCAGGCGACTTCCAAAGTATGGCTCCCAAGCAGGTCCCTGGTCAGGATCAACAGGCTGTCCGCCGCACAAACGATGCATTTCTCTGCTCCATTCCTCCAATCTCCTGTATATCTTCTTCCGCCGCTCATCTGCTTCTCGCATCAAGAACCCCGGTTTACCGAAAAACCACTGCAAGAACTCTGCCTCCCAGCGGAAAAAGTCTTGACCGAATGTTGGATACATCTCCAAGAGCTTCTCTCCATGCAAAGCCGTGACACTTGCCGTAAACATACGATCTCTCAACCATTCGAACAGTCCAACTTGGTCCAACTTGACCATCTCCTCAGCATCTGTCTTCAACACATCCTCAAAGACCCGCAAGAATTGCTCTGTGAGCTCATTGACTCGGTCAAAATTCGTCATATACTTGGCATTCAATTCGACTTCGAAATGCTTCCCCGCCTGAGCATTCCGTATCTCACTCATGGGCATATCGAAAACTTTGCTGAAGAGATCCACTTCGATCAGTTCTCGATGAGGCGTTCGTGCTTTGAAAAGCGCCTGGACGGCTGGAGGTGAGTGCACAATGTGGCATCTTTTGCCTCCTATGATTAAAGTCGTCACGCCTACGGATCTGGGATGCCATTTGAAGAGGTTCGTGTAGAATCGGCCGGGGTATGGAGCTACGAAGGAGAGGGTGTTGCCAAGCCATGGGATCCAATATGGGACTTGAGGCGGCTGGACCACCTTGGGACCTGGAGCTGAGGCTTCAAATTGACGGAGAGCGAGGTGGTAGCGAAGCGTTGTCCATATTCTAGTGGTGGCGAGAATGACCGCGGCCACTATGAACGGTGCAAGAGACCATATCAAGCCGGAATTGAGCACCGCAAAGTTCTCGAATATGTCCATGTCGTCGGGGTGACGCTTATCGTGCCAGATTAAGGTTTTGTAGGCCGCGGTTCGTTCAAGCCACGGTATAGCATCTGAACCTCACCCGAGCTGGTAGGTGTATAGTCATGAGCTTTGAGCAATGGAAATCATGGCCAGGTATCTCTTGCGATGGGCAAGCTGGAAGGGTCGCTGTCGTCGAGCAGGTCCCGCGTGGTGGGTCAAGTAAGCGAAATTGACGGAAGTCTATTGATTGTTGCACAAAATTGCATAAGTATCGGCATAAGTATCGGCATAAGTATCGGCATAAATCTCGTTTTCATGTCGTACGTGGTTCTAAGAGAGATGCTTCACATTGAAGGCGTTCTGGTGGCTAGACAGCAGCCCACAGCGAGCATACAGTGGATGAACACTCTACACACAATCTCACAGCCGACTGATAAGCGTGGCATCGACCTTCCCAAATACAGGACATCGCACTTCAATACTAGCGACTTCGATAGCTGCTGAACATTTTGGTAGCTACGCACTTATTCACGCCCATATACACCTGCTAGCCGGGCTATATAAGGCTCATCAGGGCAAGGTGAGCGAATGTGGCTATTGGTACTCTTCCGTTGCAAGAGTTTTGCTATAGGATACTGTACCTGCTACAGCGCCACGATCAGCTAAGTCTTCACAACAACTCAACCACCCCTAAACTACAAGGCTCCTTCACTCTAGAACATGATTTAATCTTGACAGCTTCTCGGATTTGCCTCTTTCTTAAAGCGTCCCCCAAGCGGGATAAATACAGCGTCTTCAAGAATCGCCGCCACTTGCGACACAGGGACGGAGGCAGCGGACGTTGGAGTAACGACGAAGGTGCTTTCCTCGCGGCTCAAATTGAACTCTGGCGCATGTTTCAGCGGATCCTTCGTCTGAAGGATGGAGACGGCTCTCTTAATCAAAATCCTGCGCCCATTATAGAGTTTGAATAATGATTATTCAGTCAGTAGCGCCTATATTCAATATTCTGAATATAGCAACGGCCTGTATTCAGGTGAATATTCAATATTCAGTCTTCCGCGGAGGTTAATTTGTATATAATTAGCAAAAGGAAGGTAAATAGCAAAAAAATAGCAGTAGAACAGTAAAAGAAAAGGGCAATATAAGGAATTAAACCTCAGTCTTCAACTATAGCTAGTTAACGTGCTGTCTACTATACTATATTACTAAAGATTGTCGCCTTCTACCTTATTACAAGGGTAGTGTCTATTAATCTATTATATATATACTTTTACTATAGATACTAAGATAATAATACTATCGGTATTACTATAAGGCGCCTACTATATAGTACTACGTGTCGGTTAAGTCTTCCGGCTTATCGTCGTCTACTAAACTAGATAGTAGCTCTATAATGCTAGCCTTCTGCTACTACTTAGAAGGCTTAAGTACTCGCACTGTCTTACTAAGTTACTATCGAGTTAGCTTCGGTCCTATATAATCGTACGCCTTACGAAGCTAAAGGTGCGCTTACTCTTAGCGGATATAGCAAACGCGGATAATACGTTAATTGCTAGTCGAGAGAGTAAAGGCTAGGCTTACCGCTATACTAGCAATAGCTACTAGTCTAGTAGACTTAACTGTCTATTGTTCTCGATAGGCAGTAGACTAGCGGCGGTATATATAAAGCTATTAAACTCGTTAGTTATAGTATTAATAACGTTAGCTTCTTATTACTACGACTCGAAGCTAGTAAGCTCTATAACTGCGGTTAGCGCTTATTACTAAGCTAACGAGTAGTTAAACTTGTCCTTATATTCTTACTATAGCGACCTCGCTCGTTCGAGTGCTAGCTATAACTAGTCCGCCTTCTTATTACTAGTCTAGCGCTTCTTAAGCTAGGTAAGTCGCTTTAAAGGGTATAGCAATAGTGCTATAACGTAGGCTCTAGACTCGTTAATAAGTCGATAGTATTTGTTAAATAGGAGCTAAGAGATAAGGATTAACTTTGTAATAGCCGGCCTATATTAATAGTGCTAAAGCGACTTCTCGTAATAGTTAATAAGGTATTCTATAGCTTCTTAGAAGCTGTCTAGTATACAGCGATAGCCCTATAACCGTATAGTAACCTCCTTAAAGGGATAAAGGAAGTTACGCGTATATTTAATAACTGTCTAGTCTAAGTCGGAAAGCGCTATATCTTATAGTAAAGGCTCTCGCTCGAATAGCAATTATAGTGTTAGCTTTGCCGTAATAGCTTCTTCTATAAGTAATAGCTAACTATTCTAGCGAGTCTTACTAGGCGTCTTTAGTACGGCGGTAGTAACGGCGGACCTAGCGAGGAATTTAAATATAGCCTATAGAACGTCGTCTTATAGACGGAGTAAAAGGTTATATAGCTTCTAAAGGGCTTCTTATTTAGCAAACGAGGCAACGTTAATATCTAGCTAAGCGGAGATAGATATCGTATCGGTAGTGCCTTCGGCGGTATTGTAAGCGGCTGTTTGCTGTTTAATAAAGGCACGCTCGTTGTTCTTCGCCTTCTTAAATGCTATCTTAGCGGACTCTATAGACTCTAAGAATATAAAGGCTTATATTGCGAGGTTAATAATATATCTAATATAGCGAAGCCTCCGCGACTTCTTAGTCTAGCCGATAACGCCTTAAGAGTAAAGGAAGCGCTTAATCTTACGCATTAAGGTATCGTTAGAGGTAACGTTATCGCTTATAATCTAGCTAATATTATTAACAATATTGTACTGCTTAAAGACGTTAATAAGCAGTTATACGAGCTTAGTACTAGTATAGCGTATAACGATAACCGGTAGGTCGAGAAGTACTTATTATAATCGGCTATTCTTATCGACAAACTAGCAGTTAATAGCTTAGAAGTACTTATAGCTATACTGCGACTTCTACGTATCTATATAGAAGTAAATCGAGCTAATAGTAGTAGCTATTATCTCTATTACTTAATCGCGTATATTATAGAAGTTGCGGAAGACTCGAGACTATAGAGCGGACTTAGCGTATAGAAGGACGTAAGAAGCCTCGGGGTTAATAGCTAGTATTATCCTATAGAAGGCGGTAGAAACTAAGGCGTTAAAGGCGATATAGTACTTAGAGGAGAAGGCGGCGAGTGCGTTACGATATTGCTATATTCTAGTAGCGTTATATAGGATATTACGAGCCCTCGTCTCTTCTATTAATACCTTCCGTAAAGCCTAAGAAGCTATTACTGCCCGAATATCGCCTTAATAGCGGTTCTTGTCCTTATCCTTATCCTTATACTTACTAATAGGCAGAGTGTATCTACGCTATAGGTAATAGTCGCAATTGCTTATAATACCGTACTATTATCCTAAATCTAGCTCGCCTATAACCTTATAGCATAGCTTAAACTTGCAGTACTAAATTATATGTCTATAGTCGTCTATTTGTAGGTCTTCCTATTCGTACGGCCTTCTTAGGTATTGTACTACCTCCGGATCTAGCTCTTTCTACTTCTTTCTCTTTATACTAAGCGCCGGTAGGGGTATAAGAACTCGTAGTATAGATACTGTTAATTGTTGCATAGATTAAGTCGATTACGAGTTAGTAGATAGTATAGCGATTAGGGTCGGATTTAGTACTTCGCCGAGGTCGCTATCGCTTTTATCGCTAGCGCTATTGCTATACTTCCGCTTTCGAGGCTCGTTGTTTTCCCGTTGCGATGCTTAGCTATTTAGCAAATTTTCCTACGCTTTCTATATTAATTTATAGGTAGTACGGAGGTTAACTATAGCGGAGTTTATCGTCGAGGTATAATTATTAGTATAGATTTAAAGAATTTGAGTTTACTAAAGCTATGCGGCCGGAAAGGCCCGTTAGCGGACCGCTCTCGGTTATACTTTCTAGATACGATAATTAGGCTACGTTAAGCCTTATATAACGCAATAGGACCCTAAACAAGCAGCAATAGTATATACAGTACTACGGAAGCAACGAATACCTTCTATAATCTATCTTCTTCCTTTATAATAATACTACTAATATACTCCTTCTTTACCGCTATTGCTACTAAGGCATTACGAGCGCGCTACGTAGCGAGCTCTTCCTTAAACTTATAATCCTCGCCGCTACGTAGTATATATAGGTTATAACTATACAGATCCGTATACCTAAAGTGCCTCGCCCTCTCTTCTACCCTTCGAATCCGATTACAATATACCTCGTACCGATAGTCTACTAGATATACTAGTATATAGTTACCCTCCTTTCGAATATACTTCTCGAAAGCGCTCGCCTTCTTCGCGTAGATATCGAGCTTAGCGTTCTTTACGATTAGTCGGTGCTTAATAGCCTAGTATTCTTTGCTAAGGTCTCGATAAGCCTTGCTAAGGCCTTTAATAGCCTTCTTAGAAGCCCTTATCTTAGCGGACTAGTCTTCGAGTGTTAGGGCTAAAGAGGCTATACGTAATTGGTATATAACTAGGCTAAGTGAAGCTAGGGTCTTAGTGCCTTAGGCAGGGCTTAGCGCTTAGCAATAGGCCAACTTGCCTGCCTTCCTCCCTCTCCTCTTAGATCTCTATCGAATACTACCTATACCTACTACTACCCTATCTACCTGCTAATATACCCTTGTTATATAGTATTCGATCCACCCTTTAAGGGTAGCAGCTAGATAGTCTCTATTTCAAGCTTTTAGCGGTATAGCTACGAATAAGACTAATCTAACTATATTGCGCCCGAAGAACGGGACCTATACGTACTATTCTATCGAAACAACCGTACTAATTATCAAGTAAGGCCTTCTATACGGCCTATTATACTAAGTTAATCGTACTAGACTAATATCTACTAATTCCGCTATATCCGCATCTTAGGGGCTAATAATACATTATTAGTGTTACCCCCTACTATAATAATAGCCGGTTTATTACGAAATAACAACTATGCTGCCGCTAGTAGCGCTAGTAACGACAATGCTAGTGGCACAGTGCCTACTGAAGTGCCTACTAAAGTGCCTACTAGAGCACCTGCTAAAGTGCTACCTACTAAAGAGCCTGCTGCTAGGCCTGCCGAAGAACCTGTAATTCTAGGTGACGACCTAGAGTTGCCTATTAACGACATTCTTAACAATATTGTTAATCGACGATATAGCTAACTAGCCTTTAGCCCTCAACTATTAGGGAGACTTTAAGAAGCTACTTAAAACAGGCTTACTGCCCTACGTTAAGAACAATAGCTAAAGGATAACCTCCTCGAGCTTCGCCGCCTTTAGGAAGACCCTACTACTGCTAAACTAATAGTAGGGCCTTCTTTACTACCCGTTTCAGTCTAAAAGAAGGATGCTAAACTTAAGGACTGTACTGTATTTAATAGCTCTAGTCGGAAGCAATACAATAATCACATTCGTAACTGCGAGCTTAACTAGCGTAATGTACTAAGAGCGCTGCTAGATAACTACTTATTAGTCGTCTACGCTATGCAATATATTAATAGCGACCTAAAACGCACCTAGGATAACCACTTTAACTCCCTTACTAATTAGACCGCTATTTAGTAGCAAACCTATAAGACTATTATACTAGACACCCTTAGAAACCCTATACTAAGGCAATAACATGCTTAGGACCTATACCTTCGAGCTAAATAAAAGACTAATCAATCGGCTCGTTTATTCGAGGCCTATTTAAAGACCCTCGAGGATAACCTTCCGACTAAGACTAATTCTATATAGATCTCGGAAATACGCCTAAAACTTAGATAGGAACTTATCCTCGAATTGGACCGTCGCCGTATGTTCGAACAAGCTAACCTAATATGTATTTAATTTATAGTCGAAGTAGAAACAGCCGAACGAGCTGTCTAGCTCTAATAACGACTAGAATCGAGGATCCGGCTAGTTAGTACTAACCGCGGCAATCGTAGTAGCCGCGGAGGAAATTAAGGTTCCTACTATAATAACAATGCTAATAATAGGAATAGTAATAATAACCGTAGAAGAGGC